ACCTGAGCTGAAGTCGGAAGCTTAACCGACTGAGCCCCCCAGGCGCCCCTGTGCTTTTATAAATAAAATCAGCTTATTTCAAAAGGGACAAAATGTTCTACACACCAGCCATAGTTTTTGGACACTCACCTGTCACGGGCATTATTTATACTTTCAGATTATTGTCACGTGGTGAAAACGTGCCTTGTGTTCTGTTGAGCTTGGAGATGCGTCCCTTGGGGTGTTTGGCAGGCGTGCGTCTCCCCCATTACCAGCTGGAAGCTTCCGCGTCTGAGCTCCTCCGCCTGCACCTCCATGCCTGATGGAGGCCGCCTCCGTGTTGTTTCACTTCCAGCTTCCAGCAGGTTCTTCCGAAGGAGGATCCCGGGCGTCCGGGTTCACGGAGCAGAGCCGGGGGACATTCTCTCAGCTCGTCACTGCAGCCCCTGCGGCTTTTTGTGCGCGGCCTGGAGGTTGCTTAGGGCCAGTCTCCCAGGTGTCGGTGGGCGCAGGCCACCAGGGTCACCAGGGTCGGAGCAGCACCAGCCGAAGCGTGTGCGCGGCAGGCGTGGTGCACTCGGAGGCGTCCTGCGGGAGGTGGGGGTGGGGGGCACACCAGCGATGTGTTCTTAACGGGAGCTTTCTCCGTTACAGTAAAAGTGGACTTTGGTTTGTAAACAAAAGTTAGATTGGTTTTTTTCCCTATCATATCTATAATATGAACATTTCTGTTAGTTTATTCCCATTTTTTATAAATCAGAGGGAAGAAGAGCTTTGCAGGTTCTCAATTTTCTATATGACTTAACGTGTGATTAATGTTTTTCCAAGGAAGAAAAATGTTGCTTCTCCTGAAGGAGATAAATTAAAAAACCTTTTTTAAAAGCTAGCGTTCCAAACTAATACATAATCAGTGATGAATTTTATAGGAAAGAGAAAAGCAGAAAAAAAGGTCTTAATCTCTTTACCCGAAGATAATGCTTGCTGGGTTCTCCAGTGTTTGAGAATTCTAGGTTTCTTGGCATCACTGGATTCTGACAGTCTTGTTTCCGTGACAGGATCTGTAGCTTCAGTCTCTGAGACTGATGTCCCACCCCCGCGTGCGCGGGCTGATGTCACAGGCTGGTGTCCCACCCCCGCGTGCGCGGTGCTGGTGTGCTCACCCGTGCTGGCCTTGGCCGTGCTCCTCAGCCCCGCTTGCGCCTCCGGTGCCGCATTTTCTGTCCTTTGTTTTTGTGGAGACGCCCGTCTGTCACCTTTCCTTTCGGAAGCACATCCTGAGTGACCTCGCCTTCTGGTGGTCACCAGCACCTTGACGCTAGCCCGTCCTCGTCGTGCGTTGTGCCGCCGGGATTCTCGATCTCTTACACGCCCTGCGTCTCTCTCTGGCTGTGTCGAGGACTGTTCTGTCTCTGCCTTTGGTGTTTGGCAGTTTGGCTGTGATGCACCTGAGTGTGGTTGTCGTTGTATTTAAATTTGGTGGGCTTGCTGATGATGTCAGGGCGCCGGGGTGCGCGAAGGCACGCAGAGGCTGGATGACTCTCTCAAGGAAGAAGTGAGGGCTCACAGCTCCGTGGAAACAGGATGCACAGGACACACGCGTGCCACGCGGCAGCAGACTGGGCCACAGGGGGAAGCATGTGGGTGGGTCGGGAGATGGGGGGCGGGTGTGGACAGTGGCTTCTGCGGGAAGGAACGCACACAGCAGGATGAGCCCTCTGTGCCTGGTTGTTGGGGCCTGACCTCGGGTGACCTGGGCAGGTGCAGGGTGGGGTGTGGGAGACCACGGAGGAGGGCGTGGGGGTGTGGCCTCGGGAAGACCCGGTTCAGTGTCTCCAGGGACGGGCTCACCCTGCGAGGGGTGGACCTCCCGCGTAGCAAGTCCCCAGGCCAGACCGGTCAGGGCAACAGAACACCGTAAACGAGAGGGCAGGATTAGCTGGAACCTTGGTTTTGATTCAGTTTGATTCAGTCACTGTTTCTAGAACTATTTTTAACGCCCGGTCTCTTTGTCTGCTCCCTTCCGGTTACATGTGTACGTTGGCTGCTTGGTGTGGCGTGTAGGTCGTGAGACTCTGGCCACACCGGTCGGTGTGAAGTGGGGTCTCACGTGGCTCGGATTTGCTTTTCCTCCCTGACCGATGGCGCCGAGCTCCGTGCCAGGGGCTGCTGGACACTCGTGTGTCTGCTTTGGGGCAGTGTCTCCTCAGACCGTTTGCCCATTTTTTTTGTTTTTATTTTTATTTATTTACCTTTTTTTGAGAGAGAGTGTGAGTGCACACACACTAGCAAGGAGGGGCAGAAAGAGGGACATAGAGAATCTTAAAGAGGGTTCCACGCTGAGACACGGGGCTCGATCCTGTGACCCTAGGATCGTGACGGGAGCCGAAATCAAGAGTCGGACAGTCAACTGACTGAGCCACCCAGGCACCCTTTTTGTCTGTTGTCAATTTGGTGATTTGTGTTTCCTTAGAAAAAGCACTTTAAAAAAAACCCTGTCGTCGCACAAGTTAAGGTTGTTCGCCGGTCTCCTGTTCAGTGGCAGGTTCCGTTTGAGTCACTGAACGGGTGTTACCGGTACCTTCCCCCCAGAATTAAAAGGGATCTGAGGGGTGAAGGGAGGCTGTGGGGACCGCCCCCACCATGTCCTGTGGCCCAGGCCGTGTGCCGGGAAGCCGCCAGCTGTGGGCTTGTCCGTCCTTCTGTCCAGCAGCGTCCCTCTGGGGAGGAAGCCTGTGTCTGCACAGCTGTCCTGGAGCATCTAAGGAATGGAAAGAAAGGAATGTCTGCGTCTTGCTGGTTCAGATCGGATGCAGAAGCATAAACTGGAAAAGAGCAGTTTGTGTTCTTACCTAGATGATCGCCGAATTGTGGGTTCTCAGCCAGGGACCTGGTGGGTGCCCCAGCCCTGGTGGCTGGCAGAGGGCGGCTCTGTGCTTCGGAGCCTGGGGACACCATCGTGCTCCGCCTGTGCCCTGTGCAGCTCTCCCCCCGTGTCCTGCCCTGTGAACGCAGGGCTCCCATCAGACAGAAGGGCCACCTGGGCAGAAAGCTCAGCTTTGCGCTCCTGACAGTGGATCCCTGCTCCCTGGGTAGCCTGGTGAGGTCACGTGCACTGGCAGACCCGGGCTCCACACGGGGACGACGGGTCTGGCTTGTGTGGCTCTCTGATGGCCACAGCTGGACTCTGGGCCCTTGGATTTCGAAATGAGGGGCCCTCACATCTGCCTGAACTGTGGAGGGCCCTCTCTCCGGGGACTTCACAGGGTCGGGAGGGGTTAGAAGGGCGGGAAGGCCCCCGCTCGAGCAGCGTGTGAGGAGACCCAGAGCACTCCCAGCCTCGG